CTCCCTTCACTCCTTCCATCCCCCACACCTTCCCTCTCTCCCACATTCACCCCCTCTCTGTTTCATCTTCAGAAAAGAGCAGACCTCCAAGAGACAACAGCCAAACAGGGCAAAACAAGACACAATAAGACAAGGAAAAGCCCTCCTATTGTGATAGGCTGGACAAGACAACCCAATAGGAGGAAAAGAGTCCTAAGAGCAGGCAAAAGAGTCAGAGACACACTCACTCACACTGTTAGGAGTCCCACAAAAACTCCAAACAGCCATAACGTATACTCAGAGGACCTGGTGCAAACACAGACCTGGTTTTTAGATTCTCTTGTAGAACAGCATGCGTTTCTGGCCTGTCTATCCCATCCTATTCTGCTGTGTCTTCATTTTTAGTTGTACTTCCTGTTTGTGTGTTCACAGGCACGTGGGTGTCTCAGTGGCAGGGTTAGAGGACTTTTGGGAGTCGGTTCTCTCCTTCCAACTTGCTTTGAGGCAGGGTCTCCCCCTGATGTGTCTCTTCACCATGGAGTCCAAGATGGCAAGATGGCTGCCAGACAGCCTCCCTGGGATTCTCCCATCTCTGCCTTCTGTCTCCCCAGAGCAGGGCTTCGGTTGCAGATGCTCACCACATCTGGATTTCTCTGTGGGTTCTGAGGGACGAAACGTCATGGCAGGTGCTTTTATCTGTTAAGCCTGGTTCTTTATTTTCATAATTTTTTTAATTTATATGTATGTGCATGTCAATTTGGTTACATATTTACATGCATGTGTCTGTGTGGACATACATGTGGAGGCCAGGTAACAACTTCGGGAACCTTTCCCTGGGCACTTTTTTGCCTTTCATTTCTTTCTTTCTTTCTTTTTTTCTTTCTTTCTTTCTTTCTTTCTTTCTTTCTTTTTTTTCTTTCTTTCTTTCCTCCTTTTTTATGGATAGGTGTCTTTCTCTGGCCTGGAACTCACCAAGTGGGCTAGGCCAGCTGTCAGGGAGCCCAGGGATCGGCCCGTCTTTCCAATGCAGTGCTGGGATTACAAGTGCAAGGTCCCTGGGGATGCGACACAGGCCTTTGTTCTTCAGAGGTGTCCTGGTTGGAGTTTCTATTGCTGTGAAAAGCACCATGACCAAAGCACTCAGGGAGGAAAAGGTTTATTTCACTTACACATCCCAGTCACAACCCATCATCAAGGGAAGTCAGGGCAGGAATTCCAGACAGGAACCTGGAAGCACGAACTGAAACAGAAGCCATGGAGGAAGGCTGCTTACTGGTTTGCTTTCTGGGCTTGCTCAGCCTGCTTTGATTAAAGCATCCAGGACCACCAGCCCACACAAGGCACCACCCTTAGTTAGCTGTGCCCTCCCACATCAATCAAACCAAGAAAATGTCCTACAGTCTTGCCTATGGGCAATCTGATGGAGGCATTTTCTCAGCTGAGGTCCCCTTCCCAGATAACTACAGCTTTGTCAAATTGACACAATAACTAACCAGAGCACAGGGCAAGTGCTTTCTGGACTGAGCCATCTCCGCAGTTGCTGACCTGCCTTTTCTCCTCTCGGGACTGCACTTTCTTAGTGACTCTAGCCTTATCCATGACAGTGGCCAATGAGACTCCTTCTCTCTCAGTCATAACTCAACCCCTGTGCTTCCACAACTTTGTCCTTTTGTTTTGTTCTTTTCGGACATTCTAGGAAAGAAGGTAATATATATGTATTGATATATGTGCATAGATACCCACACATATGTATACACACACATTTGCCTACACTCCCTGCCAAAATTAGGAGAACAAAGGAATATGCATGTGTGTGTGTGTGTGTGTGTGTGTGTGTATGTGTGTCTGGAACTGAATAGTAATGATGGCAGCTCTGGCTCTGCAAAATGAATGTGCTGTAAGCCACTGGACCGCATATTGCTGAGTTCAAATGATATATCGTACATTACATACATTTATACCTGAGGCAGAGTCTTACTATGTAGCCCTAGCTGGCCGAGAACTTGCTATGAGGACTAGATGGGCCTTGAACTCACAGAGATCTGCCCGTCTCTGCCTCTCAAATGCTGGGGTTTAAGGTGTGCTCCACCACAGCCAGTTTTAAAGTGATTTTTTAAGTGGGGAGGTGCAAACCTGTGATCCCAGTGGAAGGTGGAGGTGAAGAGATCAGGAGTCTAAGGTCATTAGCTACACAGCAAGTTCAAGGCCAGTCTGGGCTACATGAACTCCATCTATAAATAAATATCAAGAGCAGTGGCTTTGTGATTGTGAGGACCAAAGTTCAAATCCCATAACCCACAGAGGAAGCTGGGTGTCCCTGCATTGCTGTGACACCAAGGGGGTGGAAGCAGGAGGATTGCAGAGTTTGTTCCCTTTCAGTCTACCTGATGCTTGAGCCCCCATTTCACAGAGAGAAGCTGCCCCTGAGGAAGAGATGGAGAATGTTGCAAGAGGACACAGAAGCCTCTTCTGACCCCACATGCATATTCAGGAGCACATCTCTATCCTACGTGTGTGTGTGTGTATTTGTGCACCCATGTGCATGTATGTGAGTAGGTGAGTGTATGTACACTCATATAGGCACATACTATATACATATATAAAAATGGCAAAGATTTTTATTAGTATTTGATTAAATGTTTCATACAATTTACAATGTATTTTCATCATATCTACATTGAAAGCGAGCAGCGTCTTCAGCAATGGGTTCTTACCATCTAGCTGTGGTGGGCAACCAAGAGCAATCACAATAGTATGTGTGGGATTGGGGACTCTGAACCGCGCTCACCGATAACAGATAGGAGGGGTAAGCCATGCCTGGCACTGAGAATTTGTTCAATAACTCACATCTAAGGAGCAGCCTTGTCCACCCTGGCAGGCTACTTCTGTTCTAACAAGGACTGTTACTAGAAAATGACTGTTTAGATCTGGGTGACTCAGAGATTGCTCTTTGTAAGGGATGACATGAGCGTCTGAGGACGTTCCTACCAGGAAGTAGAGTTGTCATTGCTCACCCGATCTCAGCCTCAGCATCTGTTCCCTTCTTCCTGTGTGAGCTTCTAAGAGCTGTTCCCCATCCCGCATCTTCTAAAGAAGACAGGATACACATGTCTGTCTGTCCATCCCCCATCCTAGAAGGACCTAATTGTTACTTGAGTGTAGGATTCAAGCCTGGGCCCTGGCAGCTCTAACAAGCCAGGCTTGGCCACCTCTCCTCAACAGGACAATTAGAGAGACAGGTCACAGTGCAAAGAGGCATTCTCAGCTTAGGGAGCCTTAAATTTCATGCCTTTAAGACTTCCCCATTCAGGGTTCAATTAAAGATGCCTGGATGAGCTAAGCGGGGGCTAAACATCTGAGGGTAAAGTCTACTCCCAACAGCTTCCATCTATTCACGATTCTTTATTCTCTCTTCAATCCATCATTTCTCATTGTTCCTCTTGTTCTCCATGTTCCTTGTTCTACATTGTTCTCAGTTCTACCCGTTACAAATGTTCCCAGTCATATACATCCTTAAAACCAGTACTTTCCGAGCCATGGCAGGTTCCAGGGCCAGAATTCTTTTGCCCCATAGAAAGTCAGATAAGGGTTTTCACACACATGCAAACACAGAGATCCATCAATGAACTCTTTAATGTAGAAAGTTAGTTAAGAAAGAAATTATGCCAGCACCATTTGTTAAAGATGCTTTCTTTCCTCCATTGTATAATTTTAGCTTCTTTGTCGAAAATCAGGTGTTCATAGGTTTGTGGATTAATATCTGGATCTTCGATTCGATTCCATTGGTCATTGTCTCTGTTTTTATGCCAACACCAAGCTGTCTTCATTACTGTAGCTCTGTAATAGAGTTTGATGTCAGAGATGGTAATGCCTCCAGAAGTACTTTTATTGTATAAGATTGTTTTGGCTATCCTGGGTTTTTTTGTTTTTCCATATAAAGTTGATTATTGTTCTCTCAAGGTCTGTGAAGAATTTTGTTGGGATTTTGATGAGGATTGTATTGAATCTATAGATTGCTTTTGGTAGAATTGCCATTTTTACTATGTTGATCCTCCCAATCCAAGAGCAAGGGAGATCCTTCCATTTTCTGGTANACTATGTTGATCCTCCCAATCCAAGAGCAAGGGAGATCCTTCCATTTTCTGGTATCCTCTTCAATTTCTTTCTTCAAAGACTTAAAGTTCTTGTCAAATACATCTTTCACTTCCTTGGTTATTTTATGCCAAGGTATTTTATGCTATTTATGGCTATCTTGAAAGGTGATGCTTCTCTGATTTCCATCTCTGCTTCTTTGTTCTTTATGTATAGGAGGGCTACTGATTTTTTGGGGTTGATCTTGTATCCTACCACTTCACTGAAGGTATTTATCAGCTGTAGGACTTCTTTGGTAGAGTTTTTGGGGTCACTTATGTACACTATCATATCATCTGCAAATAACAAAAGTTTGACTTCTTCCTTTCCAATTCGAATCCCCATAATCTCATTATGTTGTCTTATTGCTATTGTGAGAACTTCAAGCACTATATTGAAGAGGTATGGCGAGCGTGGGCAGCCTTGTCGTGTTCCTGAGTTTAGTGGGATGGCTTTGAGGTTCTTTCCATTGAATTTGGTGTTAGTTGGCAGCTTGCTGTAAATAGCTTGTATTATATTTAGGTATGACCCTTGTATCCCTAATCTCTTCAAGACCTTTATCATAAAGGGGTGTTGAATTTTGTCAAATGCTTTTTCAGCATCTAATGAAATGATCGTATAGTTTTTTCCTTTCAGTTTATTTATATGGTGGATTACATTGACCGATTTCTGTGTGTTGAACCAGCCCTGCATCTCTGGGATGAAGCCTACTTGATCATAATGGATAATTTTTTGATGTGTTCTTGGACTTGGTTTGCCAGTATTTTATTAAGAATTTTTGTGTCAATGTTCATGAGTGAGATTGGTCTGTAATTCTCTTTCTTGGTTGAGTCTTTATGTGGTTTATTATCAGAGGATTCTAGAGGGGAAGGTTAGTGCCCTACACTACATTTCAGAGCTAAAAGGTTTATTTCAGTAAAATTATGAACAGGGCAGGGATTGTTTAAATCAGCACGCCACTTCTTTTCGCCCAGCAGGCATAGAGGCTTCCAAAGAACCTAAGTAGACAGTCAGGGAGAAGCTGATGGCTCTTGATTAGGTAGCACACACACCAGAGGCTGCAGTTTCTATGGTCTAGGTCTGGAGTTAGACTCACTGCTCTAAACCCAGAAGACAACCAGGCCTCTAAATCAGCACTCCTGGGCTATGCTGTTGTCAGTCATTGTGATCCTGGTGTTGTGGGTCTTTCTCTGGGTTGCAGTTAATTATTTCTCCTGCTGACCTTGAGAGTCCTGAACTAAAGTCATCAGTGAACCCAGGTGAAGGTGAGCATAGGAGGTAAGAATCTTTTATGTGGGGTAAAACCAGAGCAGCTGGCTCCACACTTTGCCTTTTCCTTCTCCCAGCTTGAGACTCCTTGGGTGTCTCCAGTTCCTTGGAGTCCATTGCTTCAGTATCTAACGGCAAAGAGTGCTGCAGAGGCATCTCTAGAATCTTCACTCCTACTGGGGAAGTTCATGCTGACTTCCTTCATCTCTTCCCAGCCCCCAGGACCATGGCTCCAAGTCCCACCACTGCCACTTCTGCACGTACCAAAAACACCCTCATGTCCACAGAAGGTCAGATGAGCATAGAAAATAAGACCCTGCATCTGGGACCCACAGTTGGGGTGGCCGTGGCTGCTGCTGTGCTCCTGGCTGGGGTTTTGGGATTGATGGTGTTCCTCAGGTGGAAGAGGAGGAAAGGTAAGTGGTCCAGACTGCATCCCCATCACACTTCCCGAGTGTTTCCACAGGACAATCTGCACCAGAGTCATCGAAGGGGACTGTTGACAGCTCAGATCCTAGGGCTCAGGTGATGGCTCAGTCAGTAAAGTGCTTGCCGCGCAAGTTTGAGGATCCGTCACCACAATCCTTGTAGTCCCAGTGCTGAGCAGGAGGACAAGATCATCCCCGAGGCTGATGACTAGTCACACTAGCCTAATTGCTGAGCCTCGTGTCACAGTGAGAGGCCCTGTCTTTAAAAACAGCAAGGTGGATAGCTTTTGAGGAGCTAAGGATGGCTTCCGGCCTCCCCAGGGCAGATCCTTGATGGCTTCCTCTTGAGTCCAGAGTCAGGCTCTGAGGCTTCTGCTTAGAGTACCTGGGGTCTTTTTGTTGCTGTTGTTTCAGTTTGGTTGACTGCAGGCCTGCACTGCTAACCCCACTGAGAATCTGCTTTAAGCCGGTTCTCCAAGTGAGGCCTCTGAGGGTTCAGTTTGTGAACCTCACAGTCCAGTCACATCTCAGTTCTTCTCTGTTGACACAGCCATTTCGTCATCAGAGGAGAAAGGGCCTGCCCAGGAGGAAGCCAGGGGAGGGGAAAGCAGAAGGGACTAGAAGTCGCCTCAGCTCAGCTGTATTGATTGCTCCACTTCCCAAAGTCTGGCTAGAAACTGGAGGATCCTAAGTAGATGAACATCCAGTTTCCCAGTAACTGTGGGTGATGGGGGAGGCTTCCCAAGGGCTGAATATTCATTTTAGAAGGAGCTGTGGTGTTGACAGACATGGTCAGAGGAGAGACAGGAGGGTAGAAGAGCTCCCAGAGGAAGAGAAATTACAAAGAATGTCAAAATAAATAATGACAGCCGGAGGCAGTGAAATGGTTCAGGAGGTCAAGACACTGGAAATACTCAGAGCCCACACAATCAAAGGAAAGAACTGACTTCTGCATGTTGTTCTCAGACACACGCACACCATGGCCTGTGCACACTCACACACATGGGGAATAAATAAATATAAAACAATTAAAAATAAATACAATGGCCGGGCAGTGGTGGTGCACGCCTTTAATCCCAGCACTCAGGAGGCAGAGGCAGGTGGATCTCTGTGAGTTCGAGGCCAGCCTGGTCTACAAGAGCTAGTTCCAGGACAGGAACCAAAAAGCTATGGAGAAACCCTGTCTCGAAAAATCAAAAAAATAATAAAAAAATAAAAACAACGACGGGCACTGTGGTCCACACCTCAGTCTGTGCACCGGGGTTGGGGCAGGAGGATCTTGACTCCATGAGAAATCATCTCACCCCTCTCCCTTCCACAAAATAGCCAGGAAAGTGCTGGGAGTCATGTAGGACACTCTCTGACCTTCCAGGAAAGAGAACCCATGTCAGGAAATTTTGTGTAGTGTGGTGCTGACTGAGGAGGCAGGAGATGACGGGGGAACCTTGTAAGTCAGGTCCCCAAGCCTCTGATGCCAGAGGCAAAACCAAGAGGCCACCTCAGCACCCAGCTATGATGACATCAGCTTGTATGGAAGGTCTCAGATGGGGTTCAAGAGGGTCACTGAGACAGGTCACTGGGAAGGAAGGTGTTTACTAAGAGTTATCAATGCCACAGACAGTCAGAAAGGTAGACAGCAGCAAGGCAGGGGGGCTAAGGGATGTGAGGCCCCATCAGCATGGCAAGAACTCTAAATAGGAAAGGGGGCTCTTTCTTTATCCTTTGAGGATGGGGGTGGTTTCACTGAACAAGCCTGAACCAGAAAGGAGGGAGGAAAGGGACAGGATGTGTGGCCACTAATGCCCTCTGACATAAGTCACTCGCGAGGAGAGAAACTCTGGGACTGAATGGAAGTATGTCAGCTGGAGAGTCACAGTGTCTCAGGAGTGAGTCTGTGAGAAGTGAAGGGCGGTGCTGCGGCCTGAGCAGCGGCTGGACTCTGACCTTACAGTCGTAGGGTGTAGAGGACACACTGGAGGTGCCAGGCTGTGTCAGTTACCACTGTGGTTGCCCATGGAGACGAATGGCCGGGACCAGGTAAAATTCAAGGCAAAAGCTCTCAGACTGTGAGACTAGTCCGGAGCAGTAGTGCCTGTCTGTAAGTCCAGTGTGTGGAAGGTGCAGGCAGGAGGATCAGCATTCAAAGTCCTCCTTAGATGCAGAAGATGTCAAACAAACAAAAACTCAGTGCTTAGACTGACACAGGGACCAGAGAACAGGAACAAGTCTCTTTTGCTGAAAAACACTTTGATGAAACCACCACGCCGTATGGGGACTGAAGGAGGAAGCCTGTCTGAGGGGGTGCAATGGCGGTAACTTTCCTCTGCTGTGATAAACCGTCATGATCAAAAGTACCTTGTGGAAGGAAGAGGTCACTTCACTTCCGGCTTCAAAGCAAGGTTAATAATGGCGGGGCAGTGAAGCAGGACGCTGAGCGGTCACATCTCAACCACATGCAGAAAACACAGAGAGAACAGAAGTGAGGTGGAGCAATACATTCTCAAAACACACCCCTAGTGACACACACTTCTTCCAGAAGGCTGCACCTCCTAAATGTTCCATAACCTCCCCAATATGACCAAGGGTGCAAACAGATGACCCTGTGGTTCAGATTCTTCAGTCAAACCTGCACAGGGGTAGACTGAGCAGCTGAGTCTGGGATGGATTTGAAGTGCCCGTGTGGATCTGACAAAGCTCTCCTAAAATATAAATAAATACTAAAATGTCTATTTATAAGTCAAAAGAGAAGACACAGAGTGATGGTTCAGGAGTTAAGAATATGTGTTGTTCTTGCAGAGACCCAAAAGTTCAGTTCCAGCACCCATGTGGAGCAGATCATAGCCTCCTGCGCATCCAGGGCTCTCTTCTGGCTTCTCAGGCTTGGGAACATAGATGGCACACACAACCTCACACAGAAACACACACAGTCTCTCATACACACACACAGTCACACAACCTCACACAGAAACACACACAGTCACACACACACAGTCTCACACAGAAACACATACAGTCTCACAGAGAAACACACACAGTCTCACAGAGAAACACACACAAATAAAAATCTTTAGAACTATAATATAAAACACTTGGGGAAAAAGACTAAGGAGCCAAATGACTTGTTCCCTAAAACACAGTGGGTGACATTGTCAAAGGAAAGAGGATACAGGTGAACAGAGAACATCACATTTATAAAATGGAAAAAACAGTCAAGAAGTCTATATCGGGGGTGGACAGATGGCTCAGCAGTTAAGAGCACTGAATGCTCTTGCAGAGAACCTGAGTTCTGCTCCCAGCACCCACATCAGGCAGATTACAACCATCTGCACCTCCAGCTCCAGGCCTTCTGGAAGCTCTCACCTGAATCCACAGGCATCTGCTCTCATGGGCATTACCTCAAAAGAGGTGCATGTAATTTTAAAATTCAAACAAAAGAAAGCAATAATAGTTCTCAGAGGGTAAAAGGTGTCCAAGAGGGGAGCCACATGATGGAGAGAACTGATTCTCGAAAGTTGCCCTCTGACCTCCATACAAACCTGTAACTATCATATAATAATAAGTTGCAATTTTAAAAACCTATAGTAATTAAAACAGCACAGTATGCACCAAGGCAAACAGACCAGCAGAGTAAAATACAATCCAGAAGAAGGTGCTTCCTAAAGACACAAAAAGGAAGACAGACAGGGAGAACACAGAGTAGACAAACAAGTGCTGGGTCAGGGGGAACTCAAGGTTGGTGAAGGAACAAAGGAGATGGGGGTGGGGCCTGGACCTGGCAGGGATTTGCAGGAGGGGTTGCTGTGTGGGACAGCAGCCCAGCAGAGGTAGTCCAGGCTCTTCTCTGGCTGTCTGGGGCGGTCTCTTTGCTCCCCTGTCCTCTGAAGGAGCTGAACATAGAGGACAGCTGAGGGGCAGATGGACAATCAGCACGGATGTCACACTGACACTGTCTCTTCCCCACAGGCCAGAGGACTAAAGCCGAAACCCCAGCCAGGTGAGCGCCATCCTGTCCTCTGCAGGAGCAGCCAGTGCTCTTGCCCACTGAGCCATCTCTCCAGCCCCTTCAAATGGCATTAGAAGAGCAATGGAGAACCGCACACAGGGCTCTGCACCTCTCCCCTCCCCTGACTCATCCTGTCTCTTCCTCCATGTCCTCCACGACGCCATGCTCTTCAGGGCCACCAGCTTCACACACTGACAGGGGTGCAACAGAGTCTCAGGGAGTCTCCTTCCAGAACAGTCCCCACCCCAGGCCTCATGGGGTCTTTCTCCTTCTCTCCTTCCATTTCCTAGGCTTCCCTATCTGTGGCTCTGGCTCCTCTCAGCCTTGAACATCTGCCTGGATTCCACCAGCTCTCCCATCTTTCCCTTTCTTCCCTGTCTTTATGGTCAGTGAGCCCGGCTCCCCAGGAATCCTTTGTTCTAGGTATTCCACATCTTTTGTCCTTTTCTCTTCACCTCCCAACCTCTCTGCCCTTCTCTCCTGTCTTTTCTTTTCCTTACTGCACATGGCCTGCTCTGAGCCTTCTAAATTTTTTCTGAGAAAGGGTCTCATATTGGCCTGGCTGGCCTTGAACTCATTGTGTAGCCAAGGGTGACCTTGAACTTCTGACCCTTTCACCTCGACTCACCAGCTGTTGGAATGACAGGCATCACACCACACCCGGTTTATGAGGGGCTGGGGTGGAACCCAGGACCTTGTCAATTAACGCAAGCACTCTAAGAGCAGCACTGCATCCCCAGCTCCTCCCTTTTTCCTCTCCCTGTGGCTTCTTTGGCCAGATGTCCTTCCTCCAGTCTTATCTAAGGTCCCTTCTTCCATGACCTTAGCCTGAGCACCTACCCAGAAGATCTGAAATTTTTTTGCCTTCTAGTTTTAATCAAAGAAGTGAGAGAAGTTAGCATTGGTTTGTTTTTTTTTTTTTTCAGTTTTTCGAGACAGGGTTTCTCTGTGGTTTTGGAGCCTATCCTGGAACTGGTTCTTCTTATTTCTAGTCTCTGTTCCTGCCCAGTGTAAGATGGTTTCCTAGAGTGATTCACCTTCAGCTAGCGCTAAGAGACCTCAGCTAGGCCCCCTTACCAATGGCCTCTCATTCCTCTTCCAGAGAAGGCTGAACACCAACATGCCTATCATGAGTCATTGAGGATGGCAGAGACCACTCAAAGGGAACCAGCTTCTAGTGTGTGTGCATGTATGCTCGAGTGTGTGTGTGCATGCATGTGCACAGGCACTAATGCACATGCACATGTGTGTGTTCTCAGGTGTCATCCACTTTAAATAATTTTTATTGCATTTTACTTATTTGTGTGCATGTGTATATGTGTATGGGTGGGTATGAGCACACATGTGGAAAACAGAGGACAACTTCTGAGAGCTGTCTTTTTCCTTCCACCTTGTGGATCCCTGGGATTAAATCAGGTTGTCAGTCTTAATGGCATGGTCTTACCCAGTAAGTCATTTCACCTGACCCCACTTGGGTTTTTTTTTTTTTTTTTTTTTGTTTTGTTTTGTTTTTGAGAGAGGGTCTCACACTGGTCTGGAACTCAACAATTACACCTGGTTGGTTGACCAATGAACATCAGGAGTCCCCCTGTCTCCACCTCCTGAACACTGAGAATATAAGCATGCACCACATCTCCAGTCCTGTGTGTGTTATTACATGTTCTTGTTATGTGTATATATGTGCAGTGCACATGCACATGTGCCCTGTGTGTAGAAGGCAGAGATCAGTGGTGTTCTTTCTCAGTTTCTCTCCATTATATTTTGTGTTCCTGTATGTATGTTGTGTTTGTGTGCACTTGTGCATGTATGTGGAGGCCAAAGGTCTATGTTATGATTCTCCTCAGTTTTTACCATCTTTATTTAATATTTATTTTGATACCTTTATAGTAAGGTCTCTCACTAACTGAAGCTCATCAGTTTGGCTGGGCTGCCCAGACAACAGCTTCAGGGATCCACCCATCTCCACCCCCACCCTCCAGGCACATTGTACCCAGAACATTTTGTTGTTGGTTTGATTTTTTTGAGACAAGGTTTCTCTCTGTAAACATCCCTGGCTATCCTGGAACAAACTTTGTAGACTGGGTTGGCCTCAAACTCACAGAGTGCTGGGTTTAAAGGCGTGTACCACCACTGCCTGACTGACTGTGCCCAGCATTTTTTACATGGGTCCTTGGGGATCTAAATTTGGGTCTTCATGTTTGGGAAGCAGGCCCTTTGCCAACTGAACCATCTCTCCAGCCTTCTACTTCATCTTCTGAGACAGAGTCTTTCACTGAATCTAGACCTCATCTGTTAGTCCAGGATGGCCTGTGAACTCCAGGGACTTCTCTGCCTGTCTCTGCTTCTCCACCATCCAGCTTTATTTGTTTGCTGGGGTCTGAAGTCAGGACGTCATGTTTATGGGACAAGCACGTTACTAACTGGGCCATCTCTCCAGCCCAGCACCTAATGTCTTAATTCTTTCTTGTCCAGCCTCTAATCTGTTGCCCATCTTGTTCTCATGAAGGGAACTCAATGAAAACAATGAGAAATATGAGCAAGTTAAGCACAAAGGTAAATTCAACCAGATTCCTGTTCCACACTTGGCTCTGCCTTCTTCTCCCAAGACCCCACACTTACACAAGCATTCCCTCCGTGTTTTCACCTGTCCCACCCTTACCCTGTCCCTCCCTCACCCTGTCCCTCCCTCACCCTGTCCCTCCCATGTAACCAAGGTCCTCACCTCATGCTTGGAACTCCCAGCCATCTGTCTCCCTTCCTGTCACACACCTCAACTTCAGAACTCTGTGTTCCTTTTTCTCTAGGACGACATATGGACCCCAAAGAGAACCCCAAGGTAAGAGATTCTGACTCAGGTCTGAAGGAGTTAAGGGGTGTTGATGGAGGCAGGAGGTTGGAGGTCAGAAGTGTGGGAGGACACTCAGGCTGCAGCTGCTGCTTTATGGAGCCTCAGCTGCACTGCTGCTATCTAATGCCCTGTCCCCACCCCCGCAGGACAACAACATCGTGTATGCCTCCATTGCCCTCTCAAGCCCGACCTCCCCAGGAACACCAGCCTGCCTGCCTGTCCATGAGAACCCCCAGGAAGAGACTGTATACTCCACCGTAAAGACCAAATGAGCGGGTCTGGGTGACCATCTCAGAGTCACCTTTGCTTCTAGTAGGAAGACTCCCAGCTTCCACTGATACCCACAGTCAGACGCTCACAGGTCACAGATACCCATGGCCAGGACAGAAATTCACACGTCAGGAACTCAGAGAAACTGAGAAACTCCTAGTTCCCTTTTCTAACCTGTTAGGCCCTTTTCATACAAATAAAAAGATCTACAGAATTTGCCTAAATGAACCTAATTAAGGGTCACTAGTGTGACCCGTAACTTCTGGCCCTCTAAGAACCCCTCCTCTATCACTTTTTTCGAGTGGCCCAAGGCAGGGGATGCTCCAAAAGCTGGCAGCTGTCCACCCGATGTGCACGTACATCTGTGAGTGTAATAACCAGCATACACTGTGACTGGTCCCCATGCACCACTGCACAGGACATCAGCAGTATCCCTAGAGAGATGGTGTGAGACAGGGAACTGAACACCAGATGGTCACGGTGCTTTCCAAAGGTCAAGTCGCTCCCAGGAAGGAGAGCCAGGACTCACAGACACACTGTCCTGAATGTTCCCCAGATCTGGGTCTGCTGTCCCCAGCCTCCTGTCCCCTCCAGAGCAGGCAGTCTGCCATAGAGACAGGAAAGGAAGCACACCTCAGCAGTAGCCCAGAGACCTGCTTTATTGACACGGGCTGCACAGCTCTGAATAGAACCACTTGGCAGGTCAACAACTCTGGCATTTAATGTCTACTCAAGAATGTAGGAGGACCAGAGCACACTATTCCTCAAAAAGGGCCGCCAGGAACTCCTCAGAGCCATCCCTGTGCTGCGAGTCCCCCCTCTCCTCTGGCTCTCCAATGTCTTCCATGAGTTGCTCCAAGTCCAGGTCACTGGAACCATCATCTTCAGGGGGGAATCTTGCTGCCCCCTGTGTCAGGGGCTCCTGAGGTCCAGGACCTTCCTTTCCCAAAGGACAAACCCCATGCTGAGCTGGTGGGGTAGAGCACTCTGATACAATTTTAATTTCTTTCTCCTCAGGTAAGTTGATTGCTGAGGCCTTGCTTTCAGGAGTCTTAAATTTCTTTTTAGGGCCTAAAGAAAACAAAGTTGAGAGTCCCTTTATGTTAACCTATCCTGATGTCTTACAACTAGACTTCATAATTCTTATGCTTAAAGCATCTGAAAGGATAACTGCCATCAGAATGTGGAATATAGACTTTCGGGTCACACGTAGGCTCTGGCCTCGTGTCAGCTGAGTATTCAACATGGGTCCTGAACAAATCTGAATCTCTGAGTCTTAGGGCTTTGTATCTGAAATGTCAAGGGGCTGGAAAGATAGCTCAGGAGTTAAAAGAACTTGCTGCTCTTGGAGAAGACTGGGTTTCAATCCCAAGACTCACACAGTGGCTCACAACCACCTGTAACTCCAGTTCCAGATGATATGACACCCTCTTCTGGCCTCTGTGAGCACCAAGCACACATGTGGTGCACATGCAAATATGCAAGCAAAATACCCATACACATAAAATTTTAAAAAAATAAATAAATGTCAGAAATCTAAGGCCCATTCCATGAGATGGAACCCATACCTGGCACTGTTAAAGGGTCCAAGAACCTGTGTGTAGACAGATCTTAGGCCCTAAGGGAAAATCCAATACCATTATTCTGCTTAATGGACATGGAATTACCACACACCTCTACCCAAGGCTCAAGGATGTTTGAGAAAGAAGGGGAAATACAAAAGGTTATTTTTAACACAACAGGGCAGTTGCACCTATGACTCAGTGATTGCGACAGCAGGCATAAGATCTGTGCAAACTTAAGCCAGATACAAATCCAATATGGAAAGGGCCTGAACTCTCACTACTGGCTGAAAAGCTACTAGCATTTTTAAAATAAGATTTATTTTTATTTTGTGTGTATGGGTGTTTTGCCAGTGCCCGGGGGGGTCAGAAGAGGGTATGAGGTCCCCAGGAACTAGAGTCATGGATGGTTGTGAGCCATCATCGTGTTTGAGTGTCAGGAACTGGGTCCTCTGGGAGACCAGCCAGTGTTGATTGAGCTTGATATCTGATGAGAGAGGAAAGTCGGTTGTCGTTAGTGGTATGACTGACCCCTGATAAGTCAACCACACTCCAAGCCAGGCCCCACTCCCAAGACTAGCTAACTGAAACCCATGGGGTGAGGGGAGGAAGAAAACTCATGTTTGTGAGGTTAGGAAGAGGAGAAAGAGTGTAGATACAGGAGAAGTCGAAGGGCGAACATGACCAAAGTACATTGTATGAAATTCTCAAGCTGGGCAGTGCTAACACATTCCTTTCAATCCCAGCACTCAGGAGGCAAAGGCAAGGCACAGGTATCTCTGTGAGTTCAAGGTCAGCCTGGTCTACACAGTGAGTTCCTGGTCAGCTAGGGCTATATAGTGAGACCCTGTCTCAGAAAGAAAGAAAGAGAGAGAGAGAGAGAGAGAGAGAGAGAGAGAGAGAGAGAGAGAGAGAGAGA